CTCTGCTGCCTTAAATTTTATGTTCATGTTCTCTTAGGCTTTATTCAGCCATGCAACTTTGTCCTCGGCTGAGTGATTTCTGCTAAACAGTCTTTGCTCAACTTGTCCCAAAGCTTCAGAACAAAATCTGACATTTCCAAAGCATATCTGGGAATAAGTTGTTACCTTTTAACTTTCTCATCACTGCTAAAAAAAGAAAAAACACCAGTGGTACTCTTCAGCCTCCTAGTAGATACACTTATGGTATGATTTGAAGCTCCTACATCTGCTCGTTCCAGTCACAAACTTGGGTGTCCATGCCACCTGCCCAACATCCCGCAGTCTTTTAAAAGCTGGTAACAAGGATGTCGTTTTGTGCAATTTTTCTTAATGTCAATATGTAGACATTCTACTACGTCCAAACTAGTAGTTTTTGGTTTTTTTAAATAAAAAGGGAAAAGGCTGTTTATTTCTATGTGAGACACTTAAGTTAAATTAACAATTAAAAATTAACAACGCAGTAAAATGGAACATGAAATGTGCAGGTTATTACCATCATCTATGGAAAGTTTTCAACTGCTTTAACCTTGAGATCAGAAAGGAATTCCCCTCCCCGGCATGGCGTCTTACCCTCTGCAACATATTCTTCTCCCAAGAACTTCTCATTAAAATCGATGTTTTTCAGCAGACTGTTGTCAGACAGGGCCTTCCGTGCAACTTCCGGCTTGCTCTGAAGCAACCTGAAAGAAAAAATTTTTAAAAAGATGCACAGGACTGAAAAAGTCCTGCCAAAAGCATCTGGAAAAGGCTCTGTAAACATTTTAACGATTCAGAAACGATTTACGGCTTTGTTTGTGCACAAGCGTCATCATTACTACATCATTACTACAAGGATAGAAGAAGAAGAAACAAAGATGGACACTTAAAAAAATAACTTTAATTGGCCCCCTTTGGACTTTACGGTAGAAAATAAAAACTTTAAGGAATTACTGATGCAACAATTTCAGTTACTCTTCATTGCTCTTATTGCAGCATTTGTAAAATCAGTTTACAGGGCCACATAATTTTTTTCTGAACCTAATACAATCTCATACAGTGATAAAGTTAATCTATTTAAGTACTGCTCTGGCTATTACTGAACAGAACAGAAGGCCATTTTAATGCTGATGTAAAGTGACACAGATAAAATCCCTTCCTTCCACAGAGATCCATATTATTTGAAGCCATCTTTACTACAAGAGAGCTTCAACTTCTCCTAATGATCGTTTAGATTTAATTAAATCACTATCAATTTGAATCCTGTGAACTATTACCATTAACACTTCAACAACCCAACTAGAAAACGAAATGCTGGAAGGTCTCACCTCCTGTACTGCTGTCTGGAGACCTCATCTCCACAGAATAGGTAGATTGTAGCCAGCAGTGCACTGGCTAACTGACAGAGGTTCTGTTCTCTTTGGGTGGACTTCATCAGCACAGTGATCACCTGAAAATTCAGATTGATAACAAGTTCAAGTATACACAGAGAAAAATCAACACAAAAACAAAAACTCTTACCTCTTGGGTTCTTTCCTTCAGTACAAACTGTGAAGGCGCGAGGCTGATGACTGAGGGCTCCATGAGTGATCGTGTTTGCACGTCAGAGAAGGCCACAGCTTTGATGAAAGCAGCTCTGGAGCCTGTGTTCCTCACACACAGACACACTTTGCTCACGCAGCCAACAGCGATGTCGGTCAGTGTCGCCACGTAGCCATCTGCACGTTTCCTCTGGTCTTCTAGAATGATGTTGCTGGTGCCGCCATAACCCGACAGTGGAATCTAAGGATCAGAGACACGGGAATGAAATTAATCACAGATTGAGAAAGTGAAAAGAGCGTGACAAAAGAGGAGTAAAACTGTGATCGGAGAAACTATGATGTGTTTGATGATTTTGGTTTTAATGGTCACATCCTCACAGTGAATTTGACTCCGGGCTGTGAAGGTCTAACTCCAGATTGTTTGATCTCCAGCTTGGCCAACATGCAGGCCACTCGGGTGGGAGCGAAAAGAAGGTGGACGGTCACGTCCTCTCTGGGACGGATGGACAGCTCTCCATGTCGGGTTAGACGTTCTTCGGGACTGAACAAACTCTGGAGCTGAAGAAGAAATGGAAGACCAAATTAAGGAAATTCAACAAATGTTAACTACACCCATCAGTCATCTGCCTAATATTGTGTTGGTCCCATATCGACTCCAACAGACCCCTAAAGTTGTGCTGTGGTATTTGCACCAAGATGTTAGCAACAGATTTAAGTCCTGTAAAGTGGACTTAAAGGATCTGAGGGTGGGCCTCCAAGAATCACACTTGTTTGTTCAGCACATCTCACAGATGCTCGACTGGATTAGTATCTAGGGAATTTGGAGGCCAAGTCAACTCGTTCTTGCACTCCTCAAACCAAACAAAACATTGCTGAATCATTTTTGCTTTGTGGCAGGGCGCGCTATCCTGTTGACAGAGACCACAGCCATCAGGGCGTACAGTTTCCATGAAAAGGTGCATGTGGTCTGTGGCTATGCAGCCTAATTTCCTTCGGGATTAATAAAGTATTCTGATTCTGATTATACGCAACAAACAGTGATGAACTCTGTATTCTGACAACTTTCAATCAAAGCTAAAACTTTGCTCTCCATGCGCCTCAATGAGCCTCAGCTACGCACGACCCTGTCGCTGGATCGCCACCACTCCTTCCTTGGACCACATTGGATACATACTGACCATTGCAGACCCAACAAGACACCCCAACTCACTCAAATTGTTACACTTGCCCATTTTTCCAGTTTCTAATGCATCAACTTTGAGGACAGAATGTTCACTTCCTCCCTAATATAATCACACCCACTAACAGGTGCCATGATGAAAAGATAATCAGTGTTATTCACTGCAGTCAGTGGTCAGAATGTTATTCCTGATCAGTGTAGATTCCACTGTGCCAGATTCCCAATACACAAGAAAAGTAGTAAAAAAAGAAAAAAGAAGACACACAGTTCCAACCAGTACATCCAGTACAGGAAAAGAAAAAGAACCAAACAAACAGTATGTGCTACTCACAACTACACACAACAAGAATAGAGATGATGTGCACCTGAAAACAATCTTGGTCTTGGCCTCGAATAAGCAGGCGCAGCTGCTGTGTGGCGTCAGTCGAGTTGTTCCTAAGGACCAGCTTCTGTTGGCTACAAAAACAAGCGCTCTTGGTTACGTGACAACAGTCAGTGTACACAGTGCTCTCCGTCTAACTGGATCTTTGACAGACTTTGAACACTGACAATCATTTTCCTACTTCATGTACGAGTAGCTGGGTCTAGCTAAAACTTTAAAGAATAGTTATTGAGGGGGATTTAGCCTTCTTACTGCTGTCTCTTCTATGCTGCCCTTCAGCGAGTATAAATAAATTGTGCATTATGTTGAAATAGCTTCTGAGGAATAACTCTCCCGGTAGATGCCCACTGTCCCTTCTCATGAATAACATTATACAAGTCTTAATAGAATAAGATGGACCACTGGGCCTTGAGATTTTTATTGATTACTTTCCAATGAATAATTGATACCTATAACATGCTTTCTTTTTGTGCAAGTGTGTAGCTGTGAAATTAATAAAAAACTGAAGAAAAAAAATTGCTTACACGGCACGTCCCAGGGTGACTCCTCCCCAGGCTACAAACTGCTTATTAGAGAGGATTGGTGGGACGTTATTGGTCAGACCAGGGCCGCACACCGCTGCAGAGGGGAGTGCATGCTTTCCAGAGTCCTCAGGGGTTACTTCTCCTTTCAGTGATACCTCATACTGAGGGCCGGACAGCAGCACCAAAATGGTGAGAAGGCTGGAATATAAAGTTAATTGTAAGAATTGAGTTTACAATATATTACAACACTTTGGAGGGGTTTCAAAGTTACAATCCAGGACTGGTGTATGAGTGTAGTTCATTAAAATGAAGAGTCATTAAAACAAAGATATATTTAGAGTCCTAAAAGGCACCATTATATACATTTGCTGGTAATTTCAGAGTCAGACTGGATTAAATTATATCAATACAAAAGATACAGGGTTATAAGTCATTTCAATGCACGCCTCCTATGAAGCAGGACTGCTGTCACAGTCATTTTTTCCATTTTAAGTCTAGAAAC